TTCCAGTTTTGGTTTCTTTTGGTCCCCTTTTACTTACTGGCTAAGGAACATGCGCGAGACTCGTCTCTGCCTGCTTAAACTTCTTGAATGTCACTCCGAGGACTCCAAGGAAGGGTTTCCAACAACTCTCTCCCCTCCTGGCGCTTCTTTCCCCAAATTTTCACCTTTGGTCTCGTTTGGTCCCCTTTGGCTTAGCGGGTAAAGAATCCGTACGACACTCCTGCAGGCCACTAAAGCTTCTTGATTGTCACTACTAGGACTCAAGGGAAGGGTTGCCAACACTCTCTCCCTTCTTGGGGCAAGGATGCGCCAACGGCCTCAAGTTCCCGTTTTGGTCTTTCCTTTGGTCCCCTTTGGCTTAGCTGGTAAAGAACCCGTGCGACACTCGTGCAGGCCGCTAAAACTTCCTGATTGTCACTACTAGGACTCAAGGGAAGTGTTTCCAACCACTCTCCCCCCTATTGGCACCTTCTTGCGCCAATGGCCCTAAATTCCAATTTTGGTCTCTTTTGGTGCCTTTTTACTAACTGGCAAAATAACACGCGCGAGACTCATCTCTGGATGCTAAAACTTCTTGAATGTCATTCCTAGGAGTCAAAGGAAGGGTTTCCAACAAATCTCTCCCCTCCCGGCACTTCTTTCCCCCAACTTCCACTTTTGGTCTCTTTTGGTCCCCTTTGGCTAAGCGCTTTACCCACGCGACACTCCTGCAGGCCGCTAAAACTTCTTGATTGTCACTACTAAGACTAAAAGGAAGGGTTTCCAAACACTCTCTCCCCTCCTGGCACTTCTTTTCCCAAATTTTCACTTTTGGTCTCGTTTGGTCCCCTTTGGCTTAGCGGGTAAAGAATCTGTACGACACTCCTGCAGGCCGCTAAAACTTCTAGATTTTCACTAGTAGGACTCAAGGGAAGGGTTTCCAACAACTCTCTCCCCTCTTGGCGTTTCCTTGCGCCAATGGCCCCAACTTTCAGTTTTGGTCTCTTTTGGTCCCCTGTTACTTACTGGCAAAATAACACGCGTGAGACTCGTCTCTGGCTGCTAAAACTTCTTGAATGTCACTCCTAGGAGTCAAAGGAAGGGTTTCCAACAATTCTCTCCCCTCCCGGCGCTTCTTTCCCCCCAACTTCCTCTTTTGGTTTCTTTTGGTCCCCTTTGACTTAGCGAGTAAAGAACCCGTGCGACACTCGTGCAGGCAGCTAAAACTTCTTGATTGTCACTACTATGACTCAAGGGAAGGGTTTCCAACCACTCTCTCCCCTCCTAGCACTTCTTTATGCTAACGGCCCGAAGTTCCCGTTTTGGTATTTCCTTTGGTCCTCTTTGGCTTAACGGGTAAAGAACCCGTACAACACTCGTGCAGGCCGCTAAAACTTCTTGATTGTCGCTACTAGGACTCAAGGGAAGGGTTTCCAACCACTCTCTCCAATCTTGGCGCTTCCTTGAGCCAATGGCCCTTACTTCCAGTTTTGGTCTCTTTTGGTCCCCTTTTACTTACCAGCTAAATAACATGCACGAGACTCGTCTCTGGCTGGTAAAACTTCTTGAAAGTCACTCCTAAGAATCAATGGAAGGGTTTCCCACAACGCTCTCCCCTCCTGGCACTTCTTTCCCCAAATTTTCACTTTTGGTCTCGTTTGGTCCCCTTTGGCTTAGCGGGTAAAGAATCCGTACGACACTCCTGCAGGCCACTAAAGCTTCTTGATTGTCACTACTAGGACTCAAGGGAAGGGTTGCCAACACTCTCTCCTTTCTTGGCGCTTCCTTGCGCCAACGGCCCTAACTTCCAGTTTTGGTCTCTGTTGGTCCCGTTTTACTTACTGGCAAAATAACACGCGCGAGACTCGTTTCTGGATGCTAAAACTTCTTGAATGTCACTCCTAGGACTCAAAGGAAGGGTTTCCAACAACTCTCTCCCCTCCTGGCGCTTCTTTCCCCCAACTTCCAATTTTGGTCTCTTTTGGTCCCCTTTGGCTTAGCGAGTAAAGAACCTGTGCGACACTCCTGCAGGCCGCTAAAACTTCTTGATTGTCACTACTAGGACTCAAGGGAAGGGTTGCCAACACTCTCTCCTTTCTTGGTGCTTCCTTGCGCCAACGGCCCTAACTTCCAGTTTTGGTCTCTGTTGGTCCCGTTTTACTTACTGGCAAAATAACACGCGCGAGACTCATTTCTGGATGCTAAAACTTCTTGAATGTCACTCCTAGGACTCAAAGGAAGGGTTTCCAACAACTCTCTCCCCTCCTGGCGCTTCTTTCCCCCAACTTCCAATTTTGGTCTCTTTTGGACCCCTTTGGCTTAGCGCGTAAAGAACCCGTGCGACACTCCTGCAGGATGCTAAAACTTCTTGATTGTCACTACTAGGACTCAAGGGAAGGGTTTCCAACCACTCTCTCTATTGTTGGCGCAAGGAAGCGCCAAAGGGCCCAACTTCCAATTTTCGTCTCTTTTGGTCCCTTTTACTTACCGGCTAAATAAAATGCGCGAGACTTGTCTCTGGCTGCTAAAACTTCTTCATTGCACTCCCTGGACTCAAAGGAAGGGTTTCCAACAACTCTCTCCCCTCGTGGCGCTTCTTTCCTCCAACTTCCACTTTTGGTCCTTTTTGGCGTAGCGAGTAAAGAACCTGTACGACACTCCTGCAGGCCGCTAAAACTTCTTGATTGTCACTACTAGGACTCAAGGGAAGGGTTTCCAACCACTCTCTCCCCTCCTGGCGCTTCTTTACGCCAACGGTCCCAAGTTCCCGTTTTGGTCTTTCCTTTGGTCCCCTTTGGATTCGCGGGTAAAGAACCCGTGCGACACTCGTGCTGACCGCTAAAACTTCTTGATTGTCACTAGTAGAACTCAAGGGAAAGGTTTCCAACCACTCTCTCCCCTCCTGGCGCTTCTTTACGCCAACGGCCTTAAGTTCCAGTTATGGTCTTTCCTTTCGTCCCCTTTGGCTTAGCTGGTAAAGAACCCGTGTGATACTCGTGCAGGCCGCTAACTTCCAGTTTTGGTCTCTTTTGGTCCCCTTTTACTTACCAGCTAAATAACATGCGAGACTCGTGTCTGGCTGCTAAAACTTCTTGAATGTCACTACTAGGACTCAACGGAGGGTTTCCAACAACTCCCTCCCCTCCTGGCACTTCCTTGCGCCAATGGCCCTTACTTCCAATTTTGGTCTCTTTTGGTCCCCTTTTACTTACCAGCTAAATAACATGCGCGAGAGTCGCCTCTGGCTGGTAAAACTTCTTGAATGTCACTCCTAGGAATCAATGGAAGGGTTTCCCACAACTCTTTCCCCTCCTGGCACTTCTTTTCCCAAATTTTCACTTTTGGTCTCGTTTGCTCCCCTTTGGCTTAGCGGGTAAAGAATCCGTACGACACTCCTGCAGGCCGCTAAAGCTTCTTGATTGTCACTACTAGGACTCAAGGGAAGGGTTTCCAACACTCTCTCCCTTCTTGGCACTTCCTTGCGCCAACGGCCTCAAGTTCCCGTTTTGGTTTTTCCTTTGGTCCCTTTTGGCTTAGCTGGTAAAGAACCCGTGCGATACTCATGCAGGCTGCTAAAACTTCTTGATTGTCACTACTAGGTGTCAACGGAAGGGTTTCCAACCACTCTCTCCCCTCCTTGCGCTTCTTTGCGTCAATGGCCCCAAGTTCCCGTTTTGGTCTTTCCTTTGGTCCCCTTTGGCTTCGCGGGTAAAAAACCCGTGCGACACTCGTGCAGGCTGCTAAAACATCTTGATTGTCACTAGTTGGACTCAAGGGAAGGGTTTCAAACCACTCTCTCCCCTCCTGGCGCTTCTTTGCGTCAATGGCCCCAAGTTCCCGTTTGTGTCTTTCCTTTGGTCCCCTTAGGCTTCGCGGGTAAAGAACCTGTGCGACACTAGTGCAATGATATGAACCCCATTTGCACAAGGGCTGACTTAGGATCTTTAGGGTTAGAACCTTGTAGAAAAATTTGAAAATTTAGTGATGAATTTCTGGGCAAATTAGGTGTTGGTCCATGGTGTTAAAAATGAGTGAAAAAGGAAGCAAAAACGCTAGTTTGGTGGTGGCTGGACAGAATTTTAGAAATGACGGTATCTCGAGTTATAGAACTCCAATTGAGGTGATTCCAAAACGAGGTGAAAGTTCTCGTTCTGAAATGCAATTTAGGCTCAAGAATCACTCAATTTGGCTGAGTAGAACGAGAGTTATGATAACGAAATAATTCTGGGCAGATTTGAGTTTTTTTGGAACTTTGGTGAAGAATTGAATGGGGGAAGGAAAGAATCACTCTTTCCAAGGAAGGCAACACACCAAGGGATGTGAAAGTCCTTTGATACAGCCAAGGTGTTCTTGAATCACTCAAGAACTTAGGAGAATCACTCTCACTAAGATAAAAGAGATAATCTCTAATATTTCTGAATCAAACTTAACTTGTCTTATTGATAAGAATGGTTCAGCTTATATAGAAGCTTTACCATCAGAATTACAAAGGTTCCGTAACGGAAAATGAAACTACTTGATGGCTGATTGTAACTGAAATTGTGGCAACCAAAAAGTCACCCAACAGCCACTAGCTATGCGCCTCTTGGTCTTCCAAAGGCTGATTGTAACTGAAATTGTGGCAACCAAAAAGTCACCCAACAGCCACTAGCTATGCGCCTCTTGGTCTTCCAAAGGCTGATGCCTAAGTTGCCAATTGGGCCCTTATTACAACTTGAAATAAAACCAAACCAAAGCCCATTAGTTGATTAACCACAAAACATAATTTGGTCAGCCAACTTTACAAAGGATTGGGCCATTATTTAAAACAAAAAAAAAACTTAAAAACTGAAGCAAAGTGGCGCCTTAGTTCTCCTCCATTTGGGCCATGATGCAATTCACAACCTTGGTCTTTTCTCCTTGAAACTTGGGCTTGTATTCAATTAATATGGACAACACTTGTTGAAGAGCTTCTTTTGCTATCCTTGCTCTAGCCCTTGTCATAGGTCCTCCAAGTCCTTCAAGAGGATCCTTGCCCTTGCTCATGGTCATGTCCTCATCATTCTCTCCCTCTTGAGAAGGATTTGTCCTCAAATCGGATTCTCCATCTACATCAAAAAGAGATAAGTCAGATACATTGAAGGTGGAACTAACATTGTACTCACCCGGCAGCTCAATTTTGTAAGCATTGTCATTGATTCTTTCAAGCACTTGGAATGGACCATCTCCCCTTGGTTGAAGCTTTGACTTCCTTTGTTCCGGAAACCTTTCCTTTCTCATGTGCACCCAAACCCAATCTCCGGGTTCGAAGATAACCTTCTTTCTCCCTTTGTTGGCTTGTTTAGCATAGCTTTCATTTTTCCTCTCAATTTGATTTTTGACTCTCTCATGAAGCTTCTTCACATAGTCCGCCTTTGCTTGACCTTCTTTATGCTTAAAAACTTTTCCTCTTTTATGTTTGATAACATAAGGGAATTGCTCTAGAAATTCCACCCACTTGGCATGCCTTTTGTTAAGCTTGCCTTGTCCCTTGATATATTTGAGGGACTCATGGTCACTATGAATAACAAATTCCTTGGGATAAAGGTAGTGTTGCCATGTTTTCAAAGCTCTCACTAAGGCATACAACTCTTTATCATAAGTTGAATAGTTAAGGGTAGGACCACTTAGCTTTTCACTAAAATAAGCAATTGGATGGCCTTCTTGCAACAACACAGCCCCAATCCCAACATTTGAAGCATCACACTCAATTTCAAAACATTTTTGAAAGTTTGGCAAAGCAAGTATGGGGGCATTAGTTATCTTTTGCTTAAGAGCTTTGAAAGCTTCTTCTTGTTTCTCTCCCCATTTGAAACCAACATTTTTCTTAAGCACTTCATTTAGAGGTGCTGCCAATGTGCTAAAATCCTTCACAAATCTCCTATAGAAACTTGCTAAACCATGGAAACTTCTCACTTCGGTCACGGACTTAGGTGTAGGCCATTCTTGAATAGCCCTAACCTTTTCCTCATCCACTTGTACTCCTTTTGAACTTACAACAAAACCAAGAAACACAACATGGTTAGTACAAAAGATGCATTTTTCAAGATTGGCATACAATTGTTCTTCTCTAAGCACACACAAGACAGATTTTAAATGATCAACATGCAATTCAAGTGAAGTGCTATAGATAAGAATATCATCAAAGTACACCACAACAAATTTTCCTATGAATTTTCTCAAAACATGGTTCATTAATCTCATGAAAGTGCTAGGAGCATTAGTTAAGCCAAAAGGCATAACCAACCATTCATACAAACCATATTTTGTTTTGAAAGCAGTTTTCCATTCATCCCCTTCTCTAACCCTAATTTGATTGTATCCACTTTTTAAATCAATTTTAGAGAAGTAACATGCACCATGCAATTCATCAAGCAAATCATCAAGCCTAGGTATAGGATGCCTATATTTAATGGTGATGTTATTAAGGGCTCTACAATCAGAACACATGCGCCATGTCCCATCCTTTTTAGGAACCAAAATTACCGGGACAGCACAAGGACTCATGCTATCTCTTACCCATCCCTTACCAATGAGTTCATCCACTTGTCTTTGGATCTCCTTGGTCTCTTGAGGGTTGCTTCTATAGGCTGGCCTATTAGGCAAAGAAGCTCCTGGAATGAGATCAATTTGATGCTCAATACCTCTTAATGGTGGCAACCCACTTGGTACACTTGTTGGAAACACATCTCCAAATTCCTGCAAAAGAGACTTCACTCTAGAAGGCAAATCAAGGTTATCAAAAGTGTTAGTGGTCAAAACATAGTTTTTGCAAATTAACAAAAATAGGGGCTGTTTAGATAGAAACAACCTCTTGACCTCACTTTTTGTAGCTAAAAAGCTCTCCTTCACCTCAAGTGTTTCACTCTTCTTTTTCCTCTCATGTGTTTCTCTCTTGTTGTCCTCACTTTTTGAGCTCTCAAGTGTTTGGCTTTCTTTTTCTTTCTTTTCTTGGACAATCTTTTCTCTCATTTTTCTTTGATCCTCACACACCTCTTGCGGACTTAAAGGTTTGAGCACTATCTTCTTGTCTTGGTGCATGAATGAGATTTTGTTGGTGAAACCATCATGATTGGCTCTTTTATCAAATTGCCATGGTCTCCCCAAGAGTAAGTGGCTGGCCTCCATAGGAACAACATCACAAAGCACCTTATCATTGTATCTTCCAATGGAAATATCCAACTCTACTTGCTTCCTTACTTGCACCTCTCCATCCTCACTAAGCCATTGAAGCCTATATGGCCTAGGATGTGGCTTTGTAACTAAATTCAATTTAGACACAAGTCTTGAACTCGCCACATTGGTGCAACTCCCTCCATCAATGATCACCATGCAAAGTTTACCATTGATCAAACATCTAGTATGGAAGATGTTTTCTCTTTGGCTCTCCTCCAAAGGCTTCAATTGGCTACCAAGTAACCGCCTTATCATCAACAAGTCTCCCTCTGGTGTTTTCTCCACCTCCTCCTCCACGTCCTCATTCTCCTCTTCCTCTTCAATTTCGGACTCACTTATATACTCTCCATCTCTAAGAATCATGGTTTTTTTGTTAGGGCACTCATATGCATAGTGTCCTAAGCCTTGGCACTTAAAGCACTTCACATCCCGACTCCTTTTAGAGGGTTGCTCTTGAGTTTTTAGAGGAGTTTTTGTTGGTGTAGGTGCTGCACTAGAAGTGGCAGACCCTTTTCCCTTATCCTTCCAACTAGAAAAACCAAAATTAGTGGAGCTCCTTTTGGCCACACCTTTCCTTTTCAATTGTTGCTCCACTTGGATTGCTTTGTGAAGCAAGTCCTCCATTTCAACAAATTCCTGCAGTTCAACAATATCACGAATATCATTATTCAAACCACTAAGAAATCTAGCCATAGTTACCTCCTCATCCTCTTCTATCTTGGCTTGAATCATGAGCACCTCCATTTCCTTGTAGTACTCCTCAACGCCTTTGCTACCTTGGGACAATTTTTGAAGTTTGAATTTTAAGTCCCTAGAATAGCTTGTCGGCACATATCTCTTCCTCATGATCCTTTTCATTTCAACCCATGTATCCACCAATGGCTCCTCATTCCTAGCTCTCTCTTTTTGCAATTTGTTCCACCACACAAGAGCATAATCGGAAAACTACATAGCTGCAAGCTTTACCTTTTGGGCCTCTTCATAGGTATTACAAGTGAAAATATGCTCTATTTTGATCTCCCACTCCAAATAAGCTTCCGGGTCACTTCTTCCTTTGAATGGAGGAATAGAAATTTTGACTCCATCAATTCGGTTTTGTCTAGGAGCACCGTCATTACCTCTTCTCCTCTTTTCTTGTTCATCATGACCTCTATTCTCCAATTGGTCCAATCTTTCATAGAGCTCATCATTTTGTTGCCTCATCAATCTCTCCAAATTTCTGGGCAAATTAGGTGTTGGTCCATGGTGTTAAAAATGAGTGAAAAAGGAAGCAAAAACGCTAGTTTGGTGGTGGCTGGACAGAATTTTAGAAATGACAGTATCTCGAGTTATAGAACTCCAATTGAGGTGATTCCAAAACGAGGTGAAAGTTCTCGTTCTGAAATGCAATTTAGGCTCAAGAATCACTCAATTTGGCTGAGTAGAACGAGAGTTATGATAACGAAATAATTCTGGGCAGATTTGAGTTTTTTTGGAACTTTGGTGAAGAATTGAATGGGGGAAGGAAAGAATCACTCTTTCCAAGGAAGGCAACACACCAAGGGATGTGAAAGCCCTTTGATACAGCCAAGGTGTTCTTGAATCACTCAAGAACTTAGGAGAATCACTCTCACTAAGATAAAAGAGATAATCTCTAATATTTCTGAATCAAACTTAACTTGTCTTATTGATAAGAATGGTTCAGCTTATATAGAAGCTTTACCATCAGAATTACAAAGGTTCCGTAACGGAAAATGAAACTACTTGATGGCTGATTGTAACTGAAATTGAGGCAACCAAAAAGTCACCCAACAGCCACTAGCTATGCGCCTCTTGGTCTTCCAAAGGCTGATGCCTAAGTTGCCAATTGTGCCCTTATTACAACTTGAAATAAAACCAAACCAAAGCCCATTAGTTGATTAACCACAAAACATAATTTGGTCAGCCAACTTTACAAAGGATTGGGCCATTATTTAAAACAAAAAAAAAAACTTAAAAACTGAAGCAAAGTGGCGCCTTAGTTCTCCTCCATTTGGGCCATGATGCAATTCACAACCTTGGTCTTTTCTCCTTGAAACTTGGGCTTGTATTCAATTAATATGGACAACACTTGTTGAAGAGCTTCTTTTGCTATCCTTGCTCTAGCCCTTGTCATAGGTCCTCCAAGTCCTTCAAGAGGATCCTTGCCCTTGCTCATGGTCATGTCCTCATCATGCAGGCCGCTAAAACTTCTTGATTGTCACTAGTTGGACTCAAGGGAAAGGTTTCCAACCACTCTCTCCCCTCCTGGCGCTTCTTTACGCCAACGGCCTTAAGTTCCAGTTATGGTCTTTCCTTTGGTCCCCTTTGGCTTAGCTGGTAAAGAACCCGTGCGATACTCGTGCATGCCGCTAACTTCCAGTTTTGGTCTCTTTTGGTCCCCTTTTACTTACCAGCTAAATAACATGCGCGACACTCGTTTCTGGATGCTAAAACTTCTTGAATGTCACTCCTAGGACTCAAAGGAAGGGTTTCCAACAACTCTGTCCTCTCCTGGCGCTTCTTTCCAACAACTTCCAATTTTGGTCTCTTTTGGTCCCTTTTGGCTTAGCGCGTAAAGAACCCGTGCGACACTCCTGCAAGCCGCTAAAACTTCTTGATTGTCACTACTAGGACTCAAGGGAAGGGTTTTCAACACTCTCCCCCCTCCTGGCGCTTCTTTGCGCCAATGGCCCCAAACTCCAGTTTTGGTCTCTTTTGCTCCCCTTTTACTTATTGGCTAAATAACACGCGCGAGACTCGTTTCTGGCTGGTAAAACTTCTTAAATGTCACTCCTAGGAATCAAAGGAAGGGTTTCCAACAACTCTCTCCCCTCCTGGCGCTTCTTTCCCCAAATTTTCACTTTTGGTCTCGTTTGGTCCGCTTTTGCTTAGAGAGTATGGAATCCGTAGGACACTCCTGCAGGCCGCTAAAACTTCTTGATTGTCACTACTAGGAGTCAAGGGAAGAGTTTCCAACACTCTCCCCCCTCCTGGCGCTTCTTTGCGCCAACAGCCCCAAGTTCCCGTTTTGGTCTTTCCTTTGGTCCCTTTTGGCTCAGTTGGTAAAGAACCCGTGCGAGACTTCTGCAGGCCGCTAAAACTTCTTGATTGTCACTACTAGGACTCAAGGGAAAGGTTTCCAACAACTCTCTCCCCTCCTGGCGCTTCTTTCCCCCAACTTCCACTTTTGGTCCCCTTTGGCTTAGCGGGTAAAGAACCCGTGCGACACTCATGCAGGCCGCAAGTTCCCGTTTTGGTCTTTCCTTTGCTCCCCTTTGGCTTCGCAGGTAAAGAACCCGCGCGACAGTCGTGAAGGCCGCTAAAACTTCTTGATTGTCACTACTAGGACTCCAAGGAAGGGATTTCCACACTCTCTCCCCTCCTGGGCCTTCATTGTGCCAACGGCCCCAAATTCCCGTTTTGGTCTTTCCTTTGGTCCCTTTTGGCTTAGCTGGTAAAGAACCCATGCGACACTCGTGCAGGCCGCTAAAACTTCTTGATTGTCACTACTAGGAGTCATGGGAAGGGTTTCCAACCACTCTCTGCCCTCCTGGCGCTTCTTTGCGTCAATGGCCCAAAGTTCCCGTTTTGGTCTTTCCTTTGGTCCCCTTTGGCTTCGCGGGAAAAGAACCCGTGCGACACTCGTGCAGGCCGCGATAACTTCTTGATTATCACTAGTTGGACTCAAGGGAAGGCTTTCAAACCACTCTCTCTCCTCTTGGCGCTTCCTTGCGCCAATGGCCCCAACTTCCAGTTTTGGTCTCTTTTGGTCCCTGTTTACATACCGGCTAACTAAAATGCACGAGACTCGTCTCTGGATGCTAAAACTTCTTCAATGTCACTCCTGGGACTAAAAGGAATTGTTTCCAACAACTCTCTCCCCTCCGAGCGCTTTTTTCTCCTAACTTCCACTTTTGGTCCCCTTTGGCTTAACGGGTAAAGAACCCGTGCGACACTCCTGCAGGCTGCTAAAACTTCTTGATTGTCACTAGTTCGACTGAAGGGAAGGGTTTCCAACCACTCTCTCCCCTGCTGCCACTTCTTTGCGTCAATGGCCCCAAGTTCCCGTTTTGGTCTTACCTTTGGTCCCCTTTGGCTTAGCTGGTAAAGAGCCCGTGCGACACTCGTGTAGGCCGCGAAAACTTCTTGACTGTCACTACTAGAAGTCAAGGGAAGGGTTTCCAACCACTCTCTCCCCTGCTGCCACTTCTTTGCGTCAATGGCCCCAAGTTCTCGTTTTGGTCTTTCCTTTGGTCCCCTTTGGATTAGCTGGTAAAGAACCCGTGCGACACACGTGTAGGCTGCTAAAACTTCTTGATTGTCACTACTAAGAGTCAAGGGAAGGGTTTCCAACCACTCTCTCCCCTGCTGCCACTTCTTTGCGTCAATGGCCCCAAGTTCTCGTTTTGGTCTTTCCTTTGGTCCCCTTTGGCTTCGCGGGTAAAGAACTTGTGCGACACCTGTGCAAGCCGCTAAAATTTCTTGATTGTCACTAGTTGGACTCAAGGGAAGGGTTTCCAACCACTCACTCTCCTTTTGCCGCTTCCTTGCGCCAATGGCCCTAACTTCCTGTTTTTGTTTCTTTTGGTCCCTTTTTACTTACCGGATAAGGAACATGCGCGAGACTTGACTCTGGCTGCTAAAACTTCTTGAATGTCACTCCCAGGACTCAAAGGAAGGGTTTCCAACAACTCTCTCCCCTCCTGGCGCTTCTTTCCCCAAATTTTCACCTTTGGTCTCGCTTGGTCCCCTTTGGCTTCGCGGGTAAAGAATCCGTACGACACTCCTACAGGCCGCTAAAACTTCTTAATTGTCACTACTAGGAATCAAGGGAAGGGTTTCCAACACTCTCCCCCCTCCTAGCGCTTCTTTGCACCAACGGCCCCAAGTTCCCGTTTTGGTCTTTCCTTTGGTCCCCTTTGGATTAGCTGGTAAAGAACCCGTGCGACACACGTGTAGGCTGCTAAAACTTCTTGATTGTCACTACTAAGAGTCAAGGGAAGGGTTTCCAACCACTCTCTCCCCTGCTGCCACTTCTTTGCGTCAATGGCCCCAAGTTCTCTTTTTGGTCTTTCCTTTGGTCCCCTTTAGCTTCGCGGGTAAAGAACTTGTGCGACACCTGTGCAAGCCGCTAAAACTTCTTGATTGTCACTAGTTGGACTCAAGGGAAGGGTTTCCAACCACTCACTCTCCTTTTGGCGCTTCCTTGCGCCAATGGCCCTAACTTCCAGTTTTTGTTTCTTTTGGTCCCTTTTTACTTACCGGATAAGGAACATGCGTGAGACTTGACTCTGGCTGCTAAAACTTCTTGAATGTCACTCCCAGGACTCAAAGGAAGGGTTTCCAACAACTCTTCCCTTCCTGGCGCTTCTTTCCCCCCACTTCCACTTTTCGTCTCTTTTGGCTTAGCGGGTAAAGAACTTGTGCGACACTCGTGCAGGCCGCTAAAACTTCTTGATTGTCACTAGTTGGACTCAAGGGAAGGATTTCCAACCACTCTCTCCCCTCTTGGCGCTTCCTTGTGCCAATGGCCCCAACTTTCAGTTTTGGTCTCTTTTGGTCCCCTTTTACTTACCGGTTAAATAACACGCGCGAGACTCATCTCTGGCTAGAAAACCTTCTTGAATGTCACTCCTAGGAATCAAAGGAAGGGTTTCCAACAACTCTCTCCCCTCCTGGCGCTTCTTTCCCCAAATTTTCACTTTTGGTCTCGTTTCGTCCCATTTGGTTTAGCAGGTAAAGAACCCGTGCGACACTCGTGCAGGCCGCTAAAACTTCTTGATTGTCACTACTAGGAGTCAAGGGAAGGGTTTCCAACCACTCTCTCCCCTGCTGCCACTTCTTTGCGTCAATGGCCCCAAGTTCTCGTTTTGGTCTTTCCTTTGGTCCCCTTTGGCTTCGCGAGTAAAAAACTTGTGCGACATCCGTGCAGGCCGTTAAAACTTCTTGATTGTCACTAATTGGACTCAAGGGAAGGGTTTCCAACCACTCACTCCCCTCTTGGCGCTTCCTTGTGCCAATGGCCCCAACTTACAGTTTTGGTTTCTTTTGGTCCCCTTTTACTTACCGGATAAGGAACATGCGCGAAACTCGTCTCTGGCTGCTAAAACTTCTTGAATGTCACTCCCAGGACTCAAAGGAAGGGTTTCCAACAACTCTCTCCCCTCCTGGCGCTTCTTTCCCCCAACTTCCACTTTTGGTCC